TTAATTCGGGCCAAAATTCGAAATAATGCCCCTGTGCGTTATTTCGCGGCTATACGGTAATCAAAATTTGATTGATAATTGTCGAGATATATTCGTTCAAAGTTTGAGAAAATTTTCTATTTGAGAGACTTGTGTTTTTTAAAACAGCCAAATTTGACGATTTTTTTTTTTATTTAAATTTTATGGAGACAGAGAATTCTAATAAAAAATTATTAAATTAGATTTAGTATTTTATAAAATAACTTCATTCAAATTATGAGAAATTATGGCATAGCTTCTGTTTTGATGGATGGTTTGAGTTTTTGAGCGAAGATCTTTTTACAAATGCCAAGCCAAATTCAGTCACTTTTTTTATTTGAATTCTACAGATCTATAAAATTCAAATAAAAAAATTCATCGAATCTGACTTAGCATTTGTCAAGATATCTTTGCTCAAAGTTTGAGAAAATTTTATTTGATAGATGTTGAATTTTTAAAACCTTTGAGCGAAGGAAGCCAATTTCGTTTTTATTTTTTTTTATTTTTTATTTTTTATTTTTTTTTGAATTCTACATGTTCGTAGAATTCAAATAAAAAAATGGTTATTGAATTTAGTTTGATATTGATAAGGTATCTTTATTCAAAATTGAGAAAATTTATCACTTTTGATAGACGTTGAATTTTTTAACCCTTTGAATGAAGATATCTTGACAACTATCAAGCCAAATTTGATAACTGTTTTTTATTTGAATCCTACTGATTCATAGAGTTCAAAAAAAAAAAAATAAAATAAAAATAATCTTTATCGAATTTGACTTGGTGATTGTCAAAATATCTTCAGTTAAATTTGAGAAAATTATGATGCAATTTTATTTGAGAATTTTTTAAAACTTTGAAAGAAAATATCTTAACAGCCACCAAGCCAAATTTTTTTTTATATGAATTCTACTGGCTTGTAAAATTTAAATAAGAAAAGTTTAACAAATTTGATTTGATGGTTGTCAAGATATCTTCAAAGTTTAAAAAAAATTTAGAAAATGATACAAGAAAAGGCTTGAAATTTTCCATATTATTTAGGTGCACAAACAACCAGTTCTTGTATATTACTTGATAAAGCATTGAAAAAGCGAGAATTGCAGAGAAATTTTTGATTGTTAGCAAGAAATTTAGATTGAACAACTATTAAGTTTGTTGATAGTGCCAACTTAAAAAATAATTAAAAAAACTTTTATAGAAAAATATAAATAAGTCTAAAATACTCTAAATATTATTATTCGTTTAAGATTTTGCCATAGTTTTTATTTAAAAGTTTAAAGAAAGATTCCTAAATTACGATCTATTCATTCTGTATATTTGAATACTATGGATAAAAATCTACAAAAATTAATTGAATTTTATGAATTTTCAAATTTGTTAAAGGTAATATTTAAAAGAAATATTATATTCATAACACCCATGTTATATAATACCTATATAATCTTAATCAAAGATAGATTAGGGTTAGAGTGCAGCTTTAAGATATATAGGTGTTTTTTATATAATATAATATATATTAAATATAAGGTTCCGATTTCAGTTCTCATGAGGTTTTCATGGGTCCTGAATATTTTTACTTAAGATACCTGATCCCGTTTACTTAGTATATTTTGAAGTATAGCATTGAATTAGTATAGGGTGTTATATAACATGGTATTATGAATATAACTTTTCTAAATTTAAGGAAATAGGCTAAATTACCACTATCTCGCATGCCAATAAATTCAAGATACTTTCCCAAATAATATCTTGTTTCAATAACAATGTTCATTGATTCGAGATATTGAAATATTACATTAATTAACCCTGGAAATTTGTTACCCTATAATGAATAGAAAACATTTATGCCAATGTCAGTACAAGCATTAATTAATGTCACAGCTGAAGCTAGAATAATTAGGTTAGGATTTAGGGCTAACTTGATAATAAAAGAGTATAAGTAGATTTTGGTAGAGCTAATATCTTTAAATCAAGGTCCCTAATTTACAGCTTCAACTGCGACAATTAATGATTAATAAAATGTATAAAATGCACAATACTTACATTGCCTTTACAATTTCATTAATAGTCATTTGTTCAAATTCATCTTTATAGACAGATACAGTATAAATAATTAGTAATGTTAGCATCTTGGACTATAAAATAAGCACATTAAATTATGTATCACAAAATGTAATTTTAATATATAGTTATAAGCAGCCAATAAAGAGTGTTATTACTAGGGTTCTGCAAACCTGGCATATACTGGGCAAAAAATGGACATATAAGGCACAGGCATAACTTCACTTTAAATTTTAAAGCATAGATACAATACAAATAGGCCTTATATGAGCACTGGCACAAGTAGTATTAGTGCCCAGCATTTTTCCAACAGTGCCAGGCATATTACATATTTATAATTAGCTTATAAATAAAATCACTTTTACAATCAGTTTTATTAAAATAATACTTGTACATATATAGTGCATATTAAAATATAAAAATTCATATATAGTTTAATAAGTTTGTAATATTTACATTATTATATATATATTATATAAAGCAATAGTATTATTTTAAGAATTATTTATATACATAAAACTTTAAAAAAATAATATTATTTTGTTTTAGACAAATTTTCAAGCAGACTAGATTTTTTTTGACTTTCTTTTAACTATAAATAATAAGTATTGTGCTGGATACTATGTTTTTATTAAGGTTAGCTCTATTCTTTGTAACTGTAAAACCAGCATGAAAAAAAGCTCTTTTACTAGCAGGTTGAATACTAAGAAAATCATAGGCCATCTGACTAAGAATAGGAAATCATTTTGATAATAATTTCCAACTATATAATATATTATTTTTTTTATTAGTTTCTATATCACTACTTTCATTTCAAAGTTTTCAAGAGGCTCTTGCTCATATAAATCTAACTCATATAAATCTAACTCATATTTAAGAGTATTAATATGGCATTTTTTTGCAATTCACCTTTTAGAAAAAAATTCATCATGTGATATATAATCTTTAGCTTCTATTTCTAAAATCGAAGAATTTGAACTTATATATAAAATTATTTTTTGTTAAATATTGTTAATATATTGCTCAGCTTTACTTTCTAAATATTTGCTAATTTCTAATTGAGTTGCTTTTAAATATTCTATTTTATGTTATGGATCAAGAATATGAGCAATTAAAATGTGATCTGATTTTTTATTTCATTATTTTTAAAATTTTTTTTTATTAAATTTATAGCATTACTATTATATTTAATATTATTAATATGCTGTTCAATTTATAGTATTTTTATTAATACTTCTAAAACTGAGTTTGACTAATATTTTGAAAGAATTGTTGCAATTGCAAATGGTTTAAGAATTTTACAAGTTAATTCTAGTTCTAATAATTTGTTTATTTCTAAATATAATGGCATTGATATTTCTTTTAATTGCATTTCTTTAAGTACTAGATGTAATATAATATATTTTTCAAACATATCTAAAACAGAGTTCCAACGAGTCTCAATCTCTAGAATTAGTTGTAAAAAATCTATTCCAACAACTTTATAGTATGACTCTAACAATTCAATATGCCTATTAGCTAAAAGATTTGCTAAATACTTCATAATTTTATGTACTTTTTGCTAAAGTGCATTAAATTTTATTAATTCTGCTTTTACAATGAGATTAAATATGTGGCATATATATCTAATAAATATAAGATCTAAATTAGATAACTCTTTTTGAAGTATTCAACTAACTGCTTTATTTGCTATTGTATTATCTATAGTAAGTAAAAAAAACTTATCTTTAAAATTATAGTTATTTAAAGTATTAATTATTACTGATTTAATATCTTTTGCTATCTGACCTAATTTTTGAAAACTCAATAAAATATTAACAATATTCCAATTATTGCTTATCTAAGAACTTATAACAACTATATAATAATATTAATGGGCTGTTAAATACTATCTATCACATGCTAATGAAATTTGACCTAGTACTTTTGCTATAACATCTTTAATAAAATTAAATCTAATTTCATAAATGCTTTCTAAAAGATAATGGGATATTGTTGTTGGATAAAGAACTTTATATATTTCAGTTATATAATAAAGCTTATTTACTATTCTATGAAATAATAAATTATTAAGAATATTAAAAGAAATTCTAGTATTAATAACTAGATCAATTATTAAATTATATACATCCTCTTTTGTAATAGGTTTAACAAAGCTAATATTCTGAGTTGTATATTTGACAGTATGTTTTTTTAAATATAATTTACTAATTATTAGAAAGTGACCTAGTATAATAAGCAATAAATATGTATATGATTCAATATTATAATACTGGTAGCAAAAAAAAATAATTTAAATACAGTCAACTCTTTCTATACTGAACCCTTGGTTCTGGCCAAAAAAAAAAGTTCGTTATACAGTATTACTATGTTTT